CAGACACCAGGGTAAGCGAAGGAGGACAGGAGGAAGTACTCCAGCTGCCAGAGCAGATTCCCCTGTAATGCATGGTAGACCGTGGTAAGGCAGGCTGTGCCCCTGCAGCCCATGGAGGTCCATGGTGGAACAAATCCACCTGCAGCCCATGGAGGACCTCACACTGGAGCAGGGGGATGGCTGAAGGTGGCTGTTACCCTGTGAGAAGCCTGCACTGAAGCAGGCTCTTCGCAGGACCTGTGGCCCCATGGAGAGAAGAGCCCATGCTGGAACAGGTTTACTGGCAGGATGGGTGATCCCACAGGGGACCCACACTGGAGCAGCTTGTTCTTGAAGGACTGCACCTCATAAAAGGGACCCAGATTGGAGCAGTTCACAAAGACCTGCAGCCACTGGGATAGATTCACATTGGAGAAATCTGTGAAGAACTATCTCCTGTAGTAGGGACCCCATGCTGGAGCAGAAGAGTGTGAGGAGTTCCCCCACTGAGGAGAAAGCGGCAGCAAAGACAACATGCGATGAAATGACCACAACCCCCATTCCCTATCCCCCTGCACTGCTGCAGGGGGTGGAGAAGGAAGTGAAGAAATCAGGAGTAAAGTTAAGCCTGGGAAGAAGGGATGGCTGTGTGTTGCAACATTTGCATTTATTTTCTCATTATCCTACTCTGATTTGATTGGCAACAAATTACACTAATTTTTTCCAAGTGGAGTCTGGTTTGCCCATGATGGTAATTGGTGAGCAATCTCTCCCTGTCTTTATCTCAACCCATGGGCCTCTTGTTATATTTTCTCTCCTGTCCTGCTGAGGAGGGAGAGTGATGGCAGCTTTGGTGGGCACCTGTTGTCCAGCCAGCATCAACTACATATGTATACACACATTATGTATATATTAATGTAGGCACACACAACCTTAAAGACCAGAAAAAAAATCTTTAAAACATGCTACAGTTTAGAATAGCATTCTTATCACGTCCATCTTATCAACACTTTAAGTTGCACTCCATCAACACTTTCACTTTGGGCAAATAAAAATGCAAAGTCAACACACAAAGTATATAAATGCTAATATTTTTAAACATTATCTATATAAATGGATGCACTGTCCTATTGCCACTCAGCTTCAGTAAACATGGAGTATATCCTTAGTACTTAATCTTCAGCACCTTTCTTTTCCTTTAGCTTGTTCTGCCAAATGAATAATGATTGCCTTTCACAAATCAAGACTGATTACTCCAGAAGACAGTATCTCTCTTGAGATTCTAATCTACGTGGCTAATAGTGGTAGGCTGGGTATAGTTAAGTGGAGCAATAAATATCTATGCTGGGAATACAGAGATATAAATTTAAGTCAGTAAGGCAACACATTGAAATTTGAACTAAGAATCTGTACAATGTTGTATTCCTGTAGCCTTAGAAACTCAAAGCACTCAGATGGAAGTGACAGTATATTACACCTGCAGATGTAACTCGGCTTTTTACATACTACAGTATTTTCTTCATCACTGGGACCTTTCCTTAATTATTGTGCTAACTGGTATTTTCCAAGTTAACAGGCCTACACAGTCAAGTTGTTGTTCAGAGATACTAACATGCTTGCTGCACTTGAATGGAAGAGAAGCATTTGCTAAAGAGCCATTAAATTATAAGTTACAGACTAATCCTCTCAAGTTACAGGACAGGGGACCAAGACATAATCTGGACAACTGGTGACAAATACAGGATGGAGTTTTAAAAAAAAAAATCCAAACAAAAACCACAACAGGTAAGGAGCATCTTCTGTGCAAAACCCATAATCTCTTATAAATGTACTTCCAACAAATTCAAGACTAATTACTGTCCAGCACTTGAAAACTATAGACCTTTTTATTTTGAAGTATATAAAAACAGTTTGTGGTCTTGAGCTCGTCACCTTAGGACTCTGGGGTGGAGGTAGGAGGAGAAAGATGTCTCTGCCTTTAGAAGTTATACACTACAACACAAGGTTGTTGGTTTTATTTTGTTGTTCCTGGAGGTTTTATTTGTTTGGGTTTTGATGATGGTGGTGTTGGTTTATTTTTTCTCCATGAACTCCTTTGCACAGTAGTGGCACAGAGTAAACAACATTGTCTTCCCACCCCCTCAGTGGCTAATATAAAACTTGCTCAGACCAGAAGCTTACAGCTTTGGAACATACAATTGCTAGACATAAACAAAATATCTACATCATTTATAAGAAGAGTAGAAATATTACCAAGTTCTTTATTAAATAATATATATTTATATATATAAAGGCTACTTCCTTAAATAATATCTATTTATATAATGGGCACTCAAATTAGGATTATTTTTATTTGTTTCAGAGTCAGTGATTATCTGACTTGCTCTAGTAAACCCTAATCTACTTCCAGCTCTAAAGCATAACCAACTCATGTGAAAGGGCCGTTCCTGGGATTTGCTGGAAAAGGTAAAATAGGACAAGGTAAAAGCCACTTCACACAGTTACTAGAGCCTTACCTGCACCTCTCAAGTGAAGGCAGGAAGATATGAGCAAAGTACCTCATGCTAGTGGCCTAGGTTCAGCTACAAAAAAAACAGTGCTTGCAGCTTTAACTGTCACAGGGTGTGATGTGTATGAGGGAGGAATTAAACTGCTTGTGGATATTTTGTGCTCTGAGAGACTGGATTTCTTTTCTATGTTGAACCTGAATCAGCTACTTGGTATGAAAATAATGGTCAACATCCCCTTGAAAAACACCACCAAAATTAAACTATTAATGTTTGAAGCAATTCCTGGTTTAGGTTGGAGTTCCTATTGGGTTCCCATTGAAAGTCTTGGGAAATAAGCATTTTTTAATGATTCTGCATATTTGTAAAATTTTATCAGTAACATAATCAACATTAGTTATCTAAATTTTCACTTGTGTAGCTTAAAAGCTATATCCAGACCACAACTTGAAGTCCAAAACCAAAGACAAAGCATTCTTAAATATTCATGGAACACTATACATTTATTAATGCCTTTTCCCAGTACTGAGATGCAAAAGGGAATGAATCGAGTAGTCAAACAAGTCAAACTCATTCACACAACTATTTTCTTAGCATGGAAAACCAGAATTTCAGTTTCTGAACTGTTCACTTTGGTAAGTATTTTAGAAAGAGTTTATATAAGTTTAACAGCCATTTGTTAATATAAATTATTATATTAAAAATCTCATAAGACGGAATCAGTAACAGCTATTAACTATCAACAGTCCATAAGAACATTCAGCAGAACAGTTTATGGCTGTAAGGATAGCCTGCATTTAAGCACCAATTCAGAAACTGTAGTATAACTACAACTGACACTCTCCAGAAATACTGCAATGTGTAATTATTTTTCATGTTCTTTAAACAAGAAAAATATATTCTACATCAAAAATACCTTGTGCAACCCCTTATTATATTGCAAAAGCACCGAGAAAAAAAACTGCCTTGCTTGCTTAACAGCACTGAATTTCATAAATGCCTACATTGCATAATGCTCTAATAAAAGAATTTTTATAGAGGCTGTCTGGCACAAAGAAAAGTTAAATCCATTGTGAACTTTTTCCTTTAAGAGTACAAGATGTATTTTTATGAAAATTATGCAAAAATAACTATCCAGAAAATGAGTTGCATCAGTGTGCCACCACTCCAAAACCTGGAGGCAGACATCTTAAAAAGTTCATAGATTAGATAAAGAATAAATCTGTGTAACATCTTTATTAAATTAAAAAGTATCCTGAAATTTAAAAGAACAAGAAAGATAAAGCCTAAGATGGTCGCTTTACTACAGCTTGAACTTCAGCTCCACCTCTATTTTCATCATACTTCTTCCACCTTGAATAGATTGAAAGAATAATCAATCATTGCTATAGAGGGAGAAAAAAAGATGGCATGATACTCTTTCGTAAATATTAGAATAGGTTCACAAATATTTCAATCATATCCCCTTACTCAACATTTTCCACTAATCTGTCACCATCTAATATACCCCTATACCAGATAGAAGGAATACACTCAGTAACATCTCTGCTATTGACACCAAATCCCTGCTTATTCAGGGCTGGAAGCTTATGCTTTTCTTCACCTCTAGACAGAAGAGTGAAGATACACCTCTCCACTTTATGCCCTGGGTCTCACAGTGGTCCACACCCATTTTTAAGCAGGAGGTTGAACAGGGAAAGTTCTTGCTAAAGCTCTCCTTTTCCTAACGGAGGATGAAGATCTGACCCTTTTGGTGGGTAGAATTTCTTCAGAACAGCTCAGTCTTTCAGAATCTCTGTTGTTTAAGATTGTCCCCATTTGTCAGGGGACATCTGCCACCTCATTAACTCTCACAGGTCCCATTGTATAGGGCTATACTCGGGGTGGGAGGCGGAAGTCCCCAATTCTCACATTCATTTCTCTGTGGGTGGGGGCTCTTTTTATCGCTTTCTGTCAAACGCCAATAAGCATAAATCCACCAAAAAAACCCAAACAGCCAGACAAGCAAAACCACTCCCCCAAATATACTCCAGCTTTCCATACACATTTATACATTCACACGTGCTTTCTACAACTCTTTACTCACACAGAGGTACCCACCAACTCACTCATATGCACATACCCTATGCCATTAGCTTTTTGATATATACACACACAAAAGTGTGTGAGCACACTGACATCCTTAACCCTTTACTCCAGCAGGCAGACCAGGCACCGGGCACACACACCATCCTCCCACACATTAACACACAGCTCTCTCTCGTCTCCCTGGACATACCAGCGCCAAACCCATCCCGTCCAAGAAAACACACACCATGTACATGCTCACAAATAGGCATGTATGCACACACACGTATCCACGCACACAACCACCGCCCAACCCTTCTCCTAACACACGGAGACCACCGCCAACCCCACACACTGGTCCCACGCCCTCCATTGTATGCCACGGGGCTCGCCCTCCCCTCCGCTCCCCAACCCCTCGCCCCACCCTGCACCCCCGCACCCCGTTACCGGTGAGGTGGCGGAGGACGGTGCCATGAGCCCATAGACTCAGCACTTGCTGCACAGACAGATTGATCATGGAGTTGTCCCCCGCTTCCACCTTCATCGTGGCGGGTGGTCCAGCGGCCTCTCCTCCGCCGCTCCTCAGCCCGGGGAGACGGGTGGCCTGACGACACGGATGCCGGACACCTCTCGCCACCGGACCGCGGGGCGGGAGAGCTGCGGCGGCGAGCAAGAGAGCAGGGAGGCGGCGAAGAAGACTCCGTACAGCGGGGGAGACATCGAGGACGTAGAGGGGAGATGGCGGCTTGTGGGGGAAGCCGAGAGATCGGTCCGGCCGCCAGGGCTTCCACAGTGTTCAGGGTCCGGGCAGGGCGGCCCCGAGGTGCGAGCCGATAGCGGGGACGTGCGACGAGGCCCGAGCGGACCCCATCGCCGCTTCCTTCTCCATCAGTACCGGCCGCCTCCCTAGCGGCATCGCCCCAGGCACCGGCATCACCTGCGGAGGGGAGGGGCAGGACGGCCGCGGCTCCCAGCACCAGACGCCAGCTGCGGCCGTAGAGGAGGCAGTGGGAGGGGAGACGCGGGCGGCCCCGCGCAGGCGCAGCGAGAGGACCCGGCGGCGGGCGTGGGCGCCGCGGCTCCCGGGAGTGCGTATAAGGGGCAGGGTCCCGGTGACCGTTAAGTAGCGCACGAGCTGCGCGCTTCACCCTGATTGGCTCTCGACATAGGGACGGGCTCGAGCCGGCCTCGCCATTGGCTGGTGGTGGGACACGCTCACCTGCCGGTAGGGCCCGCCCCTCACCAGGGTGCCGGGATCGGCTTCGGGTTTTCCACGCAACGTTAAGAAGCGGTGCTCCGCGGAGCGCGGACGTTAGTATCTCCGGGACGGCGGGGCCCGAGGCTCCGCGGCTCAGGAGGCGACGAGCTGAGGGAAACGAAACAGGACGGGACGGGGAAGTTAAGCACGCTTAGGTGTATTTTTATGCCCTGGGAAAGCCGGAGCTGCCTGAGCTCGGACGGCAGCCGGTGTGCAGCAGAGGGGCTGTCATCGTGAGGGAGCGGCCCGGCAACACCGCGCAGCGTTCCTGTCCGTTACTTTGAACCCGAGAGCTCTGCAGGCAGCGCAGCCCTAGAGTGAAGCCCTCAAAAGCTAGAAAACATGAGAAATCCCATCGAGTCTTAATTCTGTAACCGTGCTTTAGGTAGTTGCTTTGCTATGTATAGTAATAATAATTAAAAAAAAAAAAACAGTCTTCAAGCTGGACGCTGCCTCTTTTAAAGCACAGGGTGCACAGTGCTCACTGATTTAAAAGCCAGCAGTCTCCCCCTCCTATTCTTAAATATGTATCCCTAGGCCACATTTAGTGCATGCATTTCCTCACTGTCCTGTCTTCAGCAGTGCTTGCTATAGTACTTCACAAGCATCATTTTATGTCAACATTCTTTGATGTAAGGAGTTAGAAAGGTAAAGTAATTCACATTGTAATTTGTAATTTACAGATGAAGAGCCAATGACAGATAAATCAGCTAGTTTTCTGCTTGATGCCAATGACCTGATTTTTTCCACAGGCTGTAGCGGAATGTTTGGCTCAGAGGACCACTCCCAAGGCCTTTCGTTTGCAGCTGAAAACACTTGGCATTTCTGCAAACAGGTATCGAGCCAGGCAATGAGAAACTCAGAGTGAATTATTCCCCAGAGGGCTCTGGGTTGGACTAATTAAGCACCGGATCACTGTGATGGAGAAAGAATGCAGTTGCCAGGCCAGGCCCTTGTTCTGTGATCAAGGAAAGGTTTTCCCCTTCTTTCCCTATACCCCCACTCTCACCACCTCACAGTTGCGTAATTCAGGCCTCAGAGAAAACGGTCCCCTTCGTTACACAGTAGCAATTCATTTTTAGGGCAGAACTATCCCATACTTTGAGCAGGGCTCAGTGACAAAATAGCATATATTTATGTTTGAACGTGAAACATACAATTAAGTATTTAGAAACAGTTAATCTGGTTTATTCTTTTTAACTTCTGCCTGTTGAACTCTGAGAAAGCAGTTTTCAACATGCTTAAAAAAATAAATCCTCAACCCTAAATCCATTTCTATTGTACACCAATACCCCAAGAGCAAGTATACTCCATAGGACACTGTGGTGTAATTTGAGACACTCCCCCCAAAAAAGGAAAACTATAATTTTGTGAACATTTTTGCTTATAAACCCTATTGCAACCTACTGACAGATGTCAGGAAGGCCCTTTGGTAGGCCAGAGGCACATACAGAAACTGGGATATATCTGCATGTAACACTGCACTGGTGCCCTGTGACTCTTCAACTTGCACAATGACAATTTTTTGTATTCCATACAAGGAAGGAAGGATGCACTGGGAATTCTGGTTCTGAATTGCTGGTGTTCAGAGCTTGCTAAAACACCTTCCACAAAGCTTTTGTTTTACAACAGGAATACAGAGAACTCATTCATGTAGAGGCTCAGTGATTATTGCCCTGAGGAGTATTGTTGCAGCCTGCAGACTGTTTCAATAGTTGCTGGAGAGCATTCTTTGAGCTTGCGCAGATGCTCTCTCCACAGAGACTTTGGAAACCTGTTGGGCCACCCCCCAGGGAGGGCTGACCATTCTGCAGTCACCACAGAGGCCACCTCTGTAGATTCTGTGAGAACAATCTGGCTTCCTTCCCAAGACAGATCCACCAGAAACACAGACCAGCTTCCACTGAAACACCACCTCATACCCTAAAAACGGTTGTCAAACCTCAGGAGTGCAACATCTGAATTAACTGAGCGTGCTCTGATCAAACACCATTGACATACTTGGAGAGGCTCTGTAGACAGTGCAGAAGTGAGAAAGGGGCAGAGACTTATTTTACAAGGTGCCATAACTTGTCTCATTTATTCAACTTAGTCCATCATCCAGTGGGTAGGCTGGATACAAATGTGAAATGCACTTTATGTCATGTGAAACAAGACTGGATCATTAAGATAAATATTGTTTAAGTATTGACTTCAAGGCAAAAAATAGGTAGTACACGGCAATGATATTTCCCAGCAGCTCAATACTGGGAGGGCCATGCTGGCGAAAGAGTGCTTTGAATGAAGCAGCAGAAAGAAGCAAAATTCACTCTTGGGAACTGTAACTTCATACGAGCAGGGACATGTTGTCCTCAGCAAAACCTCTCACACAGGAGGTGTTGCCACAGAAGTCCTGAGAGCATTAGCTCCCTGTGGGGATTATTATGAGCTCTGTAGGCAGCAACAAACAGAGCAACGGTGATGACGTCAAGGGGTTCCCAGCAGGGCTGATGCAGCTTGGCTTCGGTTGCTGCTGAAGCTGTGACCCTTGGCAAGAATAATCTAGAACACCTGGGCAAAGCAAAGCAATGGTGGTGACTGCTGGGAAGATCTTGAGGAGGAGAAATCACAAGGGGCAGCACTGTCCTGGTAGGTAAAGCAGAAAAGAAAAAAAAAACAACAAAGAACATGATCTTAGTATTTCATGAGATAAGGTAGCTCCTTAAAGTATTAAAGGTTAAAAAAAGAGAAGTAGCCCTTTAGAAGGGTCTGATGAGACCATTTCATACCCCTGTGGTATCCTGTGATGGGTGGAGGATGAGCACAAAAGAGGATGTGGGGACCCAGAAGGGAAGGTGGCTGCAAGCAAGAGCACTCAGAAGGTTTGCTGGCAGCATGGCGGAATGAGGGTTGCCATGCTGTGGGGCATGACTAGCACCCATCAACACTCTGCAGAAGTAGGAATTTGTAGGAGTAGGATCATAGAATTAAAGAATGGTTTGGGTTGGAAGGGACCTTAAAAGGTGATCTAGTCCAATCCCTCTGCAATGATCAGGGACATCTTCAGCCAGACCAGGTTGCCCAGAATCACATCCAGCCTGGCCTTGAACATCTCCAGGGATGGTGCATCAATCACCTCTCTGGGCAACTTGTGCCAGTATTTTACCACCATCATTGTAAAATTTTTTCTTCACATTCAGCCTGAATCTCTCCTTCTTCAGTTTAAAACCATCACCCCTTATCCTATTGCAACAGGCCCTGCTAAAATGTCCCTCCTCATCTTTCTTATAGGCCCCTTTTAAGAACTGAAAGTTAAGGTCTCCCTGGAGCTTTCTCTTCTCCAGGCTGAACAACCCCAACTCTCCCAGCCTTTCCTCATAGGAGAGGTGCTTCAGCCCTTTGATAATTTTTGTGGCCCTTCTCTGGACCCTCCCCAACAAGTCTGTCTTTCCTTTACTGAGGACTCCAGAACTGGATGCAATACTCAGTTCAGTTCTCACCAGAGCAGAGTAGAGGAGCAGAATCACCTCCCATGACCTGCTGGCTATGCTCCTTTGGATACAGCCCAAGATACCATTGGCTTTCTGGGCTGCAAGTGCACACTGAGCCGGCTCATGTCCACTCTTTCATTCACCAGTAGTTCCAAGTCCTTCTCCTCAGGGGTACTCTCAATCCCTGCATCTCCCAGCCTGTATTGATACTGGGGGTTACCCTATCCCAGGTGCAGGACCTTGAACTTGGCCTTGTTGAATCTCATGAGGTTCACATGGGCCCACTTCTTGAGCTTGCCCAGGTCCCTCTGGACAGTGAATTAAGACAAGGCCTGTAACTGCCGGAAAAATGTGAGGGGAGTAGGGTGGAACAAGCCCATAACTAAACCTCTGCCACTTCTTCTATAAAGATAGACCTGATGTTTCCAGCCATCACTGCTCCACAGCTGCCTCCGCTCACTGTTGGAGGCACAGGGGCCAAGGCAAACACCGACTGTCTGACAGCCAGCCCCTAACACTCAGTGATCATTAAAGCCTTAAAGACTCCAGACCTCCTCCACAAGTACAAACACACCAATGAAAAACTCCATGGGGAAGGCCTTAATACTTACACAAGAACTAATCTTTATTCCAGACAATCTTAGTTTCCTTCCAGCATAACTCCCGTTCCCCCTTCCCCTTGCAGTAGCTGGGAGATTTGGAAGTTTTCCCAAGCTGCATGAATGCAAAGCACTGCAAGGAGCTAGCTGTAAACCCTGACTTCAGGTGAAGGAAATTAGTTTTACAGGTGGAAAAGCAGGGTCAGCTTAGTTTCCCTGCCCTGTGAAAGACTAGAATATGTCTACATAAGCC